GTAATTATTACTCGCAATGCCGGCGAGATTAAATTTAATCACAGGCTGGCGAGAGAGTGCTCGCGACGAGGGAGAAAGATCCTTCCAGGCGGACGGCACGTGCAACCTATTATCTCGCGCTCTCCCAAGCCACACTCGCAATGTAACCAGCCATTGTTGCAAAAGACAATGACCAAGTGACGCGTGTAATCGTTTCTGCATATATCATCGGATCGCGGCTGCCACCGGGGTCAACAATCGGCCCGCGAGTTTTTGTTCCTCCGTCAACTTCCTTCTAACGAAACGTACACGCGAGAGAGGAACACGAGGTTGAATCGAATCGTCAAAGTGTTAAAGTTGCTAAAATTATTTTTATATTTGACATATTGGAGTTTAGGCTCTTTTGCAGCAAAGGTTTCGTAACGTTGCCAGTTGTAAAATTATGTTTATATCTGGTTTTGGTGTTAAATTTTGGAATCAAAAATTAATACAATACTGAAGTGATATTATATCGAACACATCGAAGAGATTAAAAATCACTTATCCTCCAATTATTATAACACGTGTGTGTCACGTACATATAGGAAAGAACTAAAAAATAGTACGAACTTATTATATATTCCAGTTATATATAACATGTACGTGTCACGTACAAATAGTACAAAACTTGTAATAATTTAAACTCTCAGAGGATCGCAATTTAAATAGACAAATTTTCATTATAATGAAGAATCTTTAACATTCAGCGGTATCATCCGTGATACTTTTGTATGTAAATGACATACACTCTCGCTCGAAAGTCCTAGGCACTTTCATTTTTAATATTCAGTACTTATCGTGGATTATCGTGTGTACATATTTTATAATACAATATACAATAGCATAATAATGCAATATATTAATGTATTGGCAGAGTCTTTATCGTATAAAGTATGTTTATATTGTATTTAATTTAATTTTATTATATATATATATGTATATATATATGTGTGTGTGTGTAATACAATATCAATATGTTAACAGATATTGCATAAAAAAGTGTTTTATAATTATATCGTATATATAACATTTATTATAAATACAATTTATATTACATGTTCTATACAATTTATACCTTTACATTTGCGTAATTAATAATGTAAATATCGTATATATTGTATACAATTTATAACTTAAATTGAATTACTTTTATTAATACAACTATGCATGCAGTGATAACATCTGATAATATTTCCAAGTTGGTCAACATAATCAAAACAGTATCTCGACGTATATATACAGAGCCAATGAAATTTTAAAACGTTTCGTACAACGCGACACAAAATAAAACGCAAACGGTGGACGAAAATTTCCTACGATACAACCCCCCTGTTAAAATACTTTCGTGCCTGTGTCTGACGTCAACGGGACGTCTCTCCTTTATCAAGCGGGCGTGCACACACGCCACTTCCTGACCCTCGAAGATATCCACGGTGGTTCTCGTTTCCGTAATTCGACGAACACGGGCGGTTCAAGAAAAAAATTTTCAATTGCACCCTGCTCCACCCCTTGACAGGAATTTTAATTCGAACGGTCGCAGACGGAATTAAAATTCCTCGCGCGCGCGAAGGAACACTCGGACGACCCGTGAAAAGTTTCTCACGCGGCCGGGCGAACTTACGTTGTAACAGAGTTATCTGCGAATCATGCGTGTCCCGTGAGCACGAGACAGCAGAGATAGGACCGAGAGAGCCGTGTTATCTTGCAAGCTCCCCGATGCATGTGCATCGCCTTGTATTTTACCATCGCGACGACTATTTTACCACCCCCTGTCTTGAAACAGCCAGTTGCTGCGACGCTGCGGCGCGCACCTCGCTCGTCCAACTTTATTTCCCACTTCCGTCTACCCGTGTTGTCCTATTAACTTAAGCTAAAACGCCCCCGTCACGAATATCCAATTACTCTTTGACGTGCGCATCTCTCCGTTCATGTCTATTAGAGCACTCCCGAGAAACTGGGTTGACCCGAATAATCATTTGGAAATTTATTGAAGCCTTTCGTTCCACCGTGCATTCGACATTAATTCGTAATACGGTCCGTATTACGTGGAACTTGTTAAATGAACGAAATCACGCGTTATTCGAGATATATATATATATATCAGAAATGTTTGAAAGAATCGTTGTGTTGCGAGTGATTTGTGTATTCAACGTTACTAGTGTATCAAGCGTTATTATATTAATCGAGGAGCGTCGTCGAATTATCGACTATGGTAATTCGTTCAACCTCTTCAGGGACAAATTTTTAATTTTCAGTTATATAACAAAGAGATTTAATTTAATTTCGAAAGTAAATTAAATTCACATTTCAGAATTTCGCAAAATAACTATTTCAGCAACGCAGAACATTCACGTTAGATTGACCAGAGATCAGTATCAAAATTTAATTAAACTGAAAGCTCCAGGACTGACGAACGTCCGAAGGACGTTCTCTCCCGCGTCATTTTCATTTTTACACGGCCGGGCGTCATAAACGAGAATGTAGGTCTCTTGCGCTGCGAATATAGCGCTTCTGAATTATGTAGAAGCACGGGCGTACGCGTCCCATCGTCCGAAGTTCGACACTTTTGAACTTATCACGCCTATTTTTGGGGAAGGAACACGTCGACTCGTGGATCCGTTCCGACGACATTGTTATTTATTCCGAACGCGAAGGCTAGGGGCACGACAGCGTGCAGAAAGCTTGTTTCTCGCGGCAACAGCGACAAACGAAAATAAAGTGAAACGGTCAGGACAGGGCAATTGTTTGTAAGTGGTCCTTGGCTTGGTCGTTGCAAAAAGGCAAGCCAGCTCGGGTGTCAACTATTACTCGGATCCCGCATTATCCAACCAGCATCCAGGGCAGATCGCGGTCGAGATCTTGCGGTGTACGGTTCAACTACCGTCTCTACGCCGCCGTCCTGACCTGCCTCATTCCTATTCGCCGTGGCGCGCACCGCAAAAGCGTCGAAAAACGCAATCTCGGCCCGGGGACAATTTCGTTAACAGCGACGTTACGTTTTTTCGTTTCTCGTTCACTGTTTCGTTCGCTGTTTCGTGCTGCTGAGCCATTGGACAATTTAGGGATAACGTTTTAAGTTTCTGCGATCCTATACGAGCTACTGTAATTATACGTATAAACCTAACCCAACGAATGTCATTTTTAGTGCTCGAGAGATTGCCAGACAGTTGCTCGTGAAAGTGTTCGAACAGTTGCAGGAAATTTTTTACGACACACGACCACGTATCCATTATATCAATATTCAGTGGGGCCATTTTCTAATTCGTTATATTATTCATTACGTACTCAACATAGCCACTTGTGGCCTATGCTAATTTCTCGCCAATGACTCTTTAGATTGGTTTCTGCACTCGCTGCAGTATTAATTCGAAATTTCGAAGAGTCTTATATATACAAATAGGTACAATGTGTTTGTGTTTTTGCGAAAAAAAAAAAAGACGCCGCATGTGACGAGATACTATCATTTAAAATTCTCTTCCAAACGATATATAAATCACTCGACAGATCGAATTAATGCGTGAATTCAATTAACGCAAGCTTCTCTGTAACAACAACACGCGACGTTTTCCCTTGCTAACCGCAGGCGTACATGTTACGAGTTTCTTACGATACTTTTGCGAGCCATTGTAGCCATTTCTTCTTACAATCGACCTCGAATCTTGCGTCGAAACTTTACGTTCCACTTTCAAAAAAAAAAAAAAATACGTCTCCACGTTGATAATTGATCAACAAACTGAACCTTCAAAACTGTGACAATGATCGCTAGTATCACGATCGACAAACTCTCGTCTCTTCTCCCTTGTACGCGCGGATCTTCGAGCATAGTGATTTAACCTTCTAAGGACGGGGTATTTAAATCGCCAGGCGAAGTTTAATTTTACATGTTTTCGTATAAATTATTGTAGTTCCTATATTTTCAAAGTTAATCAAATAAAGGCTCAAGCTAGTTCAAAATAAGAAGAGAGAGAGACCGTCGATATATCGGACATTCGGCTTTCTCAGATATTTTATAGGTGTCGATATATCGGATGTTAGTACTTAGAAGGTTAACCACTTGCGCTGGCAACTGATTGCGGACCATAACGAGGGACCAAATCGTATATAACAATTTCTTTCGCTATCTTTTTCGAACTCGTCGGTACGATATCACTGGATAGAAATCATTGAAAAGTAATAAAAAGTTTATTATTTGTTTCTCCTGAGTTATACCTAAATATATTTAAAATTGAGAAAATATTCAAATTTTGGGACGAAAAAAACTCTTGACGTACGTGATACGTCATTCGAGCGCAAGAAGTTAAATTAACCAATTGCGCTGGCAACTGATTGCGGACCATAACGAGCGACCAAATCGTATATAACAATTTCTTTCGCTATCTTTTTTGAACTCGTCGGTACGATATCGCTGGATAGAAATGATTGAAAAGTAATAATAAGTTTATTATTTGTTTCTCCTGAGTTATACCTAAATATACTTAAAATTGGGGAAATATTCAAATTTTGGGACCAAAAGAAATCTCGACGTGCGTAGCACGTCATTCCAGCGCAACAACTGCGCCGACAACTGATTGCGGACCATAACGAGCGGCCAAACCGTATACAATAATTCGTCGCTTTCATTTTGAACTCGTCGGCATAATAGAAATTATACCGGATAGAAATGATTGAGAAGTAATAGATTTGTTATTTGTTTTGCCTGAGTTATACTTAAATATTCTGAAAACCGAGAAAATACTTGCAATTTTGGAACGGAAAAAAAAACTCTCGACGCGCGTCGTTCCAGCGGAAGAGGTTAAAAACGTGAGGGAACGAAAACATGGAGGGTTGGACGAAAAAGAGGGAAAAGCAAGGCGAAATGACGGATTCGGCGGAGCAAGCGGGAGCAGTAGGGAGGGAAGCCTGGCGAAGGGAAAGAGATGGAAACGGCGAAGGAGAAAGAGGCGAGGCAAGGCGAGCCGGTGATCGTAGTGGGATCGACAAAGCTACCTGGATCCACAACGGCCACTTTCGACGGCAGTAACCACGAAGACGCCATGACGACACAATCACCCACATCGTCCACGACTCGGCTCTCCGCTATTGGTCTAGTCGCAGCGATTTATCTTCTTCTGGCGACACGTGAGTCTAACCGTACCGTGTTATAATTGACACGAACATTTCCAAGCTTCTCTCTCTCCGTTCCGTGATCTATTTCTCAAACTCTGCGAGTCTAACCGAGAGTGATTCGTCCGAGTGCCAAGAGGAATTCTATTTCTTTCTGTTTTTTTTTTTTTTTTCTATCTTGGTAGAAAGTTTTTATTCCTCTGGCACTGTATTCGCGTCTCGCGTCTCGAGTCGAACCGAACTGTATTCGCAGAATCGTGTCACTCCTTTTTTTATGCGAATCTCTATATTTTTCTTTTTTTTTTTCAATATCTTGGTTTTATTTGAATTCAACGCAGTAAATCGTTTAATTACGAATTGTAAGAATTTTGTCCCGACAATACTGTATAATGTTCGAAAAATAGAGGTTCGCGTGTCACAGTATCGCGAGCATGCTTGCAACAAGATACGTTAGTCCTAGATACTAGACGCTTATTTACAAGACATACTATAGTCTATAGTATAATTGACAAAAAAAAAAAGGCCAAACTATTGAATATCCAGAGCTTTCTTCAACTCTGATTCAATCGAAAATGACAATGGAAAGTTATCGAAAAATTTTAAATTGTAGCAAACAACTTCGTGAAATGAAATCATACGCGTGAACTGTAAAAGTTTAAACGCCTCTGAAATTATCGTAAAATTCTTTTCATAGCGAGATTTACCATAATCTCGAAGACTGAAGCGAAGTCTTTCCCTTACATCAACCGTCTGAAAACTTGCTGTACGATTTTATTGAATAGTCAAACAAGAAGAATTTCAAGAAATCCTAACCATCTTTTGCCATCTCGGGCCCTGAATGGTCCGATGAACTGCGAATTTTAAGAGGAGGCTTCGACCTTCAATGCCACGGTAGATTTAGTCTCGAATAACAAATGAAAACGTTAGTTTGTAATTTCTTCTTTTAACAAATGTATCGGAATTTTTACAATTCTCGGGCAACAAAAATACCCGCTTGCTTTTCCACTCGCAACTCTGTTTCTCACAAAGTTGCAGCAAAGTTTAAAATGTCAGTAATTTATTCATCCGGCGGCAAATTTTTACACGCGAGTATGCACGTACTCGAAGCAACCACGCCTCGAACTCAGCCACCGCAGAGATCCATCGCGTTGCCACTTCGCACACGGCCACTATTCGAAACACGCTCGCAGCGCGATACGTTATTACCAAAGTTCGCGGCTCGAATTGTTCGCGAGGAGGCGTATTTACGAAAGGACGTGCCGAACACTGCAGGAGGCAGCCTGGCAAACATCTCGTTCATACTGAACATCCCGTCGTCACCGGGATTTACAACGAGATCATCCGAGAGGCAGCCGATTCCTCTGTCGCGACATCGCGGCGTGAAACTGCAAAGGTATACTCAAAGGCGCGAAACACCTATTCAGCCTCGTTCGCGCCAACGAGATTTCAGCTCGTCGGGATATTTATTATAACACCGAATCGAATCTTCGCAGTGCGCGTTCGATTGAAACCGAAGAATCGAATGGGGATCGCGAATGTATTCGGACTCGGCCGAATCTCGACTTTGAGCGATCGTTGCCTCACAACGGGTGTAAACTGTGTGAACTGCGTTTCCAGATTCTCGGCATCGATCACTGGCGGAATCGTGTAGATGAATCGAGTCGACTTTGATTTTTTTTTTTCTCGTATTTCTGGAGATCTGCAAACTATTTCCTATCTCTTGCACTGGATAAGAATTTTATTTAATCGTCGTATTTTGAAGTAAGAAACTGATTAATTAATTATTAATTAAGGGCTCACTGAATTTTAGCCAAAATATATCAAGAAGACACGTGTTCCTTTTATTCCATCGTCACACTGATTGTAAATTTATTTACTTTCGGATAAACAAATATATAATACGAAATTATACTCGTAAAAATCCATTTTACACGGTGCAAGACTCTCGACTTCGTAACAAAAGAGCACGATCAATTATCAATTTTGAAAAGGAACAAATCAATCGCTGCCATGGGAACGTGCCATGATAAATAACCAAAAGCAAATTCCAAAATAACTTCAAAAAAAAAAACACAGTGTCACGTATAGCCACGAGGTCGAGCCAGTGTGGCTTCTAAACTGGATCTTGTCCAACGCCCGACATGTTTTGACAATTGAAAAATGGTGATACTTCGAAAGGGAGAGGGCAAAAGAAAATTTTCGAATGTGTCCATTTTGTGCGTGAAAAATATTTGGAAATATCTCTGTATCAAGGAAATTTCGCGACAATTATCGACAATTCTCTGAAACAGGTGAAAAGATCTCGAGTCGGGGCAATTATCGAACGATTCACCGGCGTTAATTAACGACAGCGCCGCTGGCTCCAGCGTCTCGATTTGCCGGTCTGTTTCGCCGCTCGAAATCTGCGTGACTTTCGCGTTCCACGCTTTTCCTCCGCGCGGGCCCCGGGAGAAAGAGATTCGCGACGAGAAAAAAGAACGAGAAAAAGGCAGAGAGATAGATAGATAGATAGAGAAAGAGAGAGAGAGAGAGAGAGAGAGAGAGAGAGAGAGAAGTCCGCGTACGATATCGCGGTCGTAACGATTTCGCGAAGAAACTGCCGGCCGTTTTCCGCTCGAGATCTCGCGGCCGCTTGCGAAAGTGGTGCCACGAACACGCGGAAACACGCCAGCACACGATATCGCAATTTAGCTCACCCTGTTTCCATTTTTTATTCCCCGTGTTTTGCTTGTCCCGTTCCATTCAATGAAAATCGGATCGATCCATCAACAAATCCACTGATACTCCCTGGTCATTGAATTAGGACCGACGCGCGGAAATTTCACTTTTCCGACACTGTGCGTGCGTGCGCGCGTGTGTGTTTGTTAACCGAGTTAGGTGAACGAGCCTGTCCGATGCCAAACATCCGGTTAATCTCGTTACGCGGCTACGCGTACGATTAACATTTCAACTCTCAAGAAACAGATGATTCAGACGAGTTTAACGAGAGAGTTGCAAAATCTCCGTGAGAAGTTTGAAACTGTGTTTCATTTCTTCTTTTTTTTTTTTTTTTTTTTGTTTTCGAGGTCGTTTAGCTTCAGTTTATCGAGTTGATCCGCAATGTTTCTAAACTCCAATTATTCGGAGATAATACGAAAATGGAACATGTACATATATATGTAAAAAAATTGATCTTAAAATCATCTTAAATATATAATACAGTACGGTTCTACCGATTATTGAGATTTATTAATTAATCACGCGAATACTTTTATAAATAAAATAAAGTACAAAGTATTTTATAGCTTTCACATTCATATTCCCAGATTTATCCCAAATTTCGCGAATATAATACGATTATCGCGTAAATAAAATTTCAAATCGTTTCACATTGAGCGTGTAAAGAAAGGTTTCCGCAAATATTCATGAACAATTTCACAAACATCGCTCTGTATATTAATATAAAATAATATATATATATATATATATATATATGATTTTATTATAATTATTATTATATAATATATAATAATAATTATAATATATAATAATTTTAAATTAATATATAATATATATTAATATAAAATAACATAATAAAGTAATATATATAAAATATTGTTATTATATTAGAATATATATATATATTATTACGTTATTATATTATATTATATTATATTATTATAAATATATATACCGCTTTACGTCGCTGTACTATTAGAATTCATTCGCAACGCTCAGTTTTACTAGAAAAAAAAAAAAGAGAAAAATTAAAAAATGGAAATTTAAGTGGTCCCAATTCGATTTTACCAGAGAGATAGAGAGAGAGAGTATTATTTTCTCACCCGAGAGAGAATTCCTAACGTGTCTTTGTCACATACCGTTCCCGACTCTCCGCAAATATCCTTTATGCGTGTCTAATCGGGCATTGCCTCTCGACGTGGCTTTAATCCGTCACTGGGACGATCTTTCTCCTTTGGTTCGCGTTTCGGTCCAGTGGCTGCCGAGGAATCGCGACTGCGCGACTTAATCGAGATCCTGTGTAAACAACAGGAAAGGCGCGTTGTTTGCAAAGAACGCCCCGAACGCTGGTTCAACCTTGTCGCAAAAGAAAAGCGATTCGTTCGTGGGGGAGGGGAGAATTTCGCCTCGGAACAGATGCCAAATCAAATTTCTTTTCGTCGCCGCAACCGCAACGTTGTTTCTATCGGTTTCACATGTCAGGGGCTGAATTCGTTTCGAGGAGCGTTTTCAAATTTCGATCGACCAGCAATTTTGCACAAATTTTAGAGATCGATCGAGTTTACCTCACCTAAGATTGTTCTTACAGCCAGATATTATTTTCTTTGTTATAATATTATAAATATTATAAATTTATTATAATATAATAAACTATAAATATTATAAATGTTATAAATTTATTAGATTGTAATAATTTTATAATAAATTTTATAAATTTATTATATTATAAATATTATAAATTTATTATAATATAATAAATTATAAATGTTATAAATGATATAAATTTATTACATTATAATAAATTATAATATTATGAATTTTATAAATTTATTACATTATAATAAATTATAATATTATAAATTTTATAAATTTATTATATTATAAATATTATAAATGTTATAAATTTATTAGATTGTAATAATTTTATAATAAATTTTATAAATTTATTATATCATAAATATTATAAATTTATTATAATATAATAAATTATAAATGCTACAAATGTTATAAATTTATTACATTATAATAAATTATAATATTATAAATTTTATAAATTTATTACATTATAATAAATTATAATATTATAAATTTTATAAATTTATTATATTATAAATTTATCATATAAGAGATCGATTCTAATCGAAGACGTATCTTATCTCGCATACAATAAATTACATCACAGTTAAGATTAATAATCGATTTAATTACAATTAAAATTGATATTAAATTCTAATCGAAACACGTATATCTGCGATATAATTTATCTTTGCAATTCATCTCACTCGATGAATTACATC